CCCGGTCCGGTGCTCCTGGGGTGCGGGGGGGCGACTTTGTCGCCCCCCCGCACCCCAGGAGCTCCGGACCGGGGGCCGCGTTCTCCCCTTCCCGCCTCACCCCTTATCCCCCTCACTCACTTCACTAATTTATTTTTTTTTAAATTATTAATTCCAGAAGCCGATTCTGCTGCAAGGCCACGAGCGTTCCATCACGCAGATCAAATATAACCGCGAGGGAGATCTGYTGTTCACCGTGGCCAAAGATCCCGTGAGTTCTCCTCCCTCCTCCCCCCCTGTAATTAAATAATTAATTTTTAATAATTTTTTTTTTTTTTGCGTAGATCGTCAACGTGTGGTATTCGGTGAACGGGGAGAGGTTGGGAACTTACAATGGGCACACGGGAGCTGTGTGGTGCGTGGATGCCGATTGTATCCTTTGATCCCAAAAAACCGGTTTTTTCCCATATTTTAACGCGTGATTCATGCTCTACTTTTTCCTCTCAAAAAGACGCCTTTAACTCTTCTTTTTCCCATTTTTTCCCCCATTTTTTTCTCCCTGATATTTRCAATATCATGGATTGTGTTTTGGAAGATTTTCCATGGTCAGTAGTGTTTAAAAAACTTCTAAAAATTTTAAAAGTTTAAAATTTTGAAAATCTTAAAAGTTTAAAAAACTTTTTAAAATCTTGGGTTTTTTTCTGCAAAAATCAGAGCCTTTCCCTTCAAATTTCACTGTAAAAATGTGCAATTTTTTAATGGACTCTATGTTTTTATTAAAATATTGCCATTCCCACGATTTTACCCYAAAAAAACCTTTTTAATTGGGTGTGGAAATGTGATTTGAGTGGAATTTGGGGCTGCTTTTCCCTGACTGGTGGCGCAGGGGACACGAGGCACGTCCTGACGGGCTCTGCAGATAACAGCTGTCGGCTCTGGGACTGTGAGACGGGTGAGACCCCCCCCAAATCCCCGATTTTGGGATGGGTGGGGAGTGGGCTGAGCCTGGAGGGTGTTAATGTACACAAAAACATCGATTTCT